ACACCCCACACCCACACACCCACACCCACACCCGCCGCAAAATCTCGAACTTTAAAACTTACACTCACTATTTTCTTCGAAAATATACGTGAGTTCCACAAAATATTTAATCTCATCTGACAAATGAACACTATAAAATGAAAAATATATATTATTATTTTCTTTTAAAGTCAATCTCTAGCAAAATCATATAAATAGTACATCAGCTAAGAATAAAAGATAAACTAAAATGGTTTCTTTCCACTTTACTCTATATTATAGTATTCTTCTTAATTTAAGTTTACCTCACTTTTGTATATACATGTTTTACTAAATATTTAGCAAAAAAGCAGAATATAAGTATTACATAGACAACCCACATCGTTCTCAACGTGGAGATCTCTGGAGAAAAAACCAACAGAGTACTCAACTAGTATTCATGCATACTAAATCCTTCGAGTGTTAATGCAAATAATTTGAGCACTCCTGCTAACAAGCCATATACGCTTGATGAGTATTTTCAACAGAGATATAGCATTCATCTTATGATAAATCATTTGTACTGTTGACATATAAAGAAAAATGTCATGAAAAAGAAATTAAAAAAAGAATAATACATATTTACATTATAGATGGAATCATTCATAAACGATGTTCAGTAAAACAGGATGCGAAAGGAGGATGATACATGTCTGGATGTCTGAAAAAAAAGCTGGACAAATCAAGGCGGTCATCTCACTTTCCCAGACAGAGTAAAGTATCAGATCATTAAAAGTTATGTGAAGTTCACTAGGAGTTCTGACATTAATTCCACTTTGTTTTCAGTTTTTGGACATTTTTCAAGTTTAAAGAGTTTTAATCAGCATTTTCAAAACAAGAAACTTCTTAGAATTCTGTTAGTGTTTTTCATATGATTCATTTGCATGATTAAAGAAATTACAACAAGATCCTGGCACTGAATTTCTTTCATTTTCTACAAATCTGTAGAGATAATTAAATTCATTAAACATTAGCAGTACAGTAATATTTCCATAGTGATGTGACACGCAACTTATTGACTTGATTACTGATGACACAGAAGGAATGTTCACGTTAATTATTGAAATTCTAGAATCTGACTCCAGAGCTCGATAATAATATCGTTTCACCAATCTAGTCTAACGTTCAAAGAAAGCAGCATATTTTAGTAAAATGGTGCTTCTACGAATACGTTTGACAGCTAGATTTTCAAATAGAAAAAGATCATTTAGAAGCGACAATTTTATGGTAGGAGTTAAGCGAAAAAAATGCTTCTATTATCTGAACGCCCTTTCTAAATAATTCTTATGTATTATCAACTATTGAATTATACTCTGAATGGGTGTAAATTGTGTATTCAATATTTTTTGAATAGTATATTGTCATGATTTGACAGAAAAGAAAAAAAACAACAATGATGAAAATACAAAGTTGAAGAAATTTCGATCAGATATATATGTATCTCTAGGTTAATCACCAATATTTAACAATACTATTCACATAATATTGATATACCGGAGAATAATAGCAATACAAGTGGATAAAAATAAATTTTACATTTATAATAAATTATATCATTGAAAACCAATAATTTTATTTTTAAATTCATAAATTTTAATGTTGAAAATTATAGATTTTACAGTCGTGGTCAACACATAAGGACGAATTGTTCGTCCAGAGAAACACAAAAACATGTTTCAATTTCGACGTAGAACTTCGGTGACTGTCTGCATCCAGCTACAATCAGAACAAAAAAACCGCGGCTATGAATTTCTGCTTTCAAGTCCCTATCATTCTTCCGAGTTTTGGAGTGAGAAACAGCATCTTTCTGGCAAGAAGATGGCGGAAACTGATGGATAAAAGCGCCGGAATCATTCAAGTCTAATTGAATACATGTATTATTTTGCATGTGTAGGTCTTCTAATGCCTCATAAATCTTATTTATTCATAAGAATTTTTTTTCTTTTTTCAAACATTTGAATAGACGTCAAAAAATAGACATCCGTCAACCGGAAGCAATATGTAATTATCTATATTCATGTTGACGTATCGATAATACATAGTTGTTGTCGAAAATATTTTTTTGCATGTTTTAAGCACATATAGTTTTAATCATAACCTTTAATTTTTTAGAAATTATATTCATACTTATTTTGTTGTTTATTATTTTCTCAAAGAATAATTCTTATATATTAATACAATAACGATAATGATGTTTTTATGATTTATTGAATTTTTTTTTTATGCTTGTAATTGATGAGTCTCACATAATTATATATGCTTATAGTAGTCACTTTTATTAGACACAATAATAAAATGTTAGATGTTGGTTGCATTGAAATTCGAAAGAAGGAATAGAAATATATCATGCCGTGTGTAACGGAAAAATAAGAAAATGACGGTCGTGGATTGATAAGATGTAGTGCCAAACGTTCGGGTAGCACCGAAGGGTAATAATTTATTTATTAATAATAATAATAATAATAATACAAATACACACTACTCTTATTTAAGCTAACACGACGTCAGTGTACCTATCGCTCGAGTTGACTGTATTCCGTCTTCGAGTTGACTCGATTGCGTCTAGGGCACTTTCTGCTCTACGAGCAATTCATTTGTGCACTCTCACACCGACTGACACTACTGACTGACTGTTCATGTGACTTTACACAGCTATATATATACCATCCCAAGAGTGTGTAATGTCAAGGAGGTTGTATCCTTCGCTCTTCACTATATTGAACGCGTATATTCTCGATTGTTCTCTTCTCTTCTTTCTCCTTCTCAATGATGTGTCCTCGCATCCGTTTGATGCGGTCATCCCTATGAATGAAAAGAGAACAATGAGCATATATGCAGTGAATAGCGCAAGGTATTGTAAGAGCATTGAACATTATGAACAGTATTACATAAGGATACAAGGTTAACATCATACAAGGATGAGTTAAAGTAAGAATGGAATAAGGTAAGGACGATATGAAGTAAGAATGGAACAAGGTAAGGACGATGTCATATAGTGGCGATAGTATGTTACATCGGTGCCGCTCTTGGCACACCGTGACAATATAATTGGGTAATTCACTCAACAGAAAAAGATTTGTCAACTACTATCGCTTGCTCATTCTACTGAATTTCATAAATATAATTAAAATTCGATCTTTGCTATTTAATAAAAAATTTTCAAATGAGTACAGATGATTCTTCTTTCAAGGAAAATAAATTATACCTCAATACATCAAATATTCATATTACCTGTGTTGGTAATAAACATGAGTAATTAACGACCTTCCACGTCATTTAAAATACGTCATCATGACGTCAAATTAGCACAGCTACTTTCGTTATACAAGGGCATACTCTGGTATATAAAGGATGTTTCAAACTAATGTGCAGAATCATTACAAATTATATTTAATATTTTCTACATTGATTCGTGAATACATACAAAAATGAGTAAGTTATTTATAAATCTATTTTCATCTATTCATATTTTTTTTTGGTTTATTCAATAGATTTTTTAGTAAATCGTCTTGAACGTAATATTGGTATAGATTTGAATGGTGACGGATACGTTGGAGGACAAGGTATAAACTTTAAAAGAAGTTTTCTATATTTTAATTATTACTGCTATTTCTGTTTTTGATAAAGGCTTTCTGAGTCGATTAGAAAGAGCAACACATATTGACTTTAATCGTGATAATATCATTGGTCGACCCCGTGATGTTATGTATGGTTATCCTGGAATGTATGGCTACGGCATGCCTTATGCATATAGTCCTCATGGTTATGGCTTTGGGTTATATAGTCACTACTAAGTATTATAACGAGCAGTACTTATGAATTTTTTTCTCATATGTTTCTAAATAAAATAAATAATACATAATAATTGTTTTTGATAACTTCTTTCTATCATTGCAGTTTGATTTCATACTTATACGATAGATACATATTTATGCTTATTTATTCTAGAAATTTATCCACTAGAGAATAACAAATTGTTTAATAAAATATACATGTAACTTATGAATTCCAAAAGCAATGAAAAACAAATTTATGGTTTTTTCGGCCCATTTCTTGTTTTCTATGAAAATAGGATCAATTTTCGATTAATGAGAATGTGGCTCTTTTCTTCATTCACTCCATAGACAATACTGTTATATGATGATTGTGTGATATTGAAAACTTAACAAACAGCGAGAAGAATGTATCAGTTAAATTTTTCCAGATTAAATTTAAACTTTTGGAACTAGTCAGTTTGAAGGTCAACTGTTACAGTCTTTCAAATTTTTAAGCATGAAATGCTACTAACAAATCAAATGAAATGTAAGAGTTTTGTAAATGAATATTTTATTAATTTAATAGTAATAAGGAAATTTTCGATCTTATGTGATCAGATCATTTTCAATGAATATACCAAAACTTATAAATAGATTTTACAATACAGAAATAAAAAATAAAAGAAAAAAGTCTGTATATTCTTTATAATGTTAGAAATAATAAAAGTATTACCATTCACACCATAAACATACATCTTATAACTTGAAGAATCTATTGTAATTTCAGACAAATTTAATGTAGTAACATTGTGTACTAATGACTAGTTCCCGGTGTGACTGCCATGACTCACGGCAATCACGGTCACGGCCGTGATCGTGGCTAATACTTTTCAAAAGTTCGTGACCGTGACCGTAACTGAAGCTCGGCCAAGTAAACTTTTTCGAAATTTTGGAACCCACTGATGGGAGTAGGAGGGCCTTCTAGAAGTTATCTCCTGCTACTCGGTCGTTGGTTTTTATAAAAAAAAAGCTTGTCAGCGTAGTCCCTTTGGGGCTGAAATGTGGAACTCACATATCTCCTTTGGTTTCATTATACTAATGACAAAATACCCAATGTTTAAAATCTCCAAAATATAAGAATTTTTTTTCTAAAGATAATCGATGATTAGAAAATGCTATATTTCTATCTCTAAGTTTCGAACAGAAATTTGTTTTTCACGAAGTTGCCAAGATCTGTAATGGTGGGGTGTCTGTAATTCATACAATGGGCTATTTAATTTCAGTCTGAATTTATCAAATAAAAATAATACTTGATTTCAAACTGAAACGTGAGTCTAGGAGTGAGGGGGGGAGGTGACTGAGGGTGTGGGTGTTGGTCTGGGACCCACACACACCCACACCCATGGTGCGGGTGTGGGCGCGCGAGTGAGGGTGAGGCTGTGCTTGTGGTTTTGTGTACTATAGGCTTTAGTCCCCTGCACAGGGGACTAAGCGGGGACTAAGCTTTTTGTCGGGGGGGACTAAGGGGGACTTTGCAGGACTAGAGGGGACTAAGGGTTTTTAGTGAGACTACGTAGTATCAAACGAGAAAAGTTTGATTCGGAAGAAATTGGTGTGGTTTTTTTGTTTTTAGAATTCAGTTTGAAATAAAAAAGCTCATAGACTCCTGTAATTAGGGGTTGTCTCTAATGTTCTCTTTCCCGTTGCTATGTGTCTGTAATGGGGTGGGGGGAGCCGCGAACCTCGAACTGAAAACTTCTACTGACTATTTTCTTCGAAAACATACGTGAGTTCCACAAAAAGTAAAGTGAAAATAAAAATATTTTTCAATGTTTATGTTGATAGTTGAATTTTTCTCATTATTTATTATTAATAGAATAAAACAAATAATAAGAATATATTTATAATAGTTTATATTATAATATATCGATATTTTTATTATCTGAAAATGTATCTTTCTAGAACGAAGATTTTTTTTTCTTTGTTCTTATGTTCAACGAAGATAATAATGTGCTACATATCGGACTCTATTGACTGAGCAATCAGTAAACAAAGTAAACTAAAGTAGAGATAGAGAAACAAATGAATAGATTCTGAAAATTATTTTCTATAAAAGATAATCGGCTTTTTTCTATTGTTTTAGCATTTTTTTTCTATTTTGCAAACGTCACTGTGCTAGATACATTCTCAAGATTTCTTTTCTATACAATATATTATAAATATCGAAGAACATGTCAGTATTGAAGAGAAATTCATATGATTATCTATATATATAAAGAAGAATGTTTGTTTGTTTGTTTGTTTGTTTGTCTGTTCGCTATGCATTTGAAGACCGTACGAGCAAATACTATCAAACTTTCCAGAAATGGTCTTTACACCCAGGGGAAGGTCGACATGTATTTTTTTCCGAAAAAAAACGAATCCTACGCATGCTACAGGCGATCTATGGAACCGACCAATAGGGTTGCAGCTTTCGGTACCATAGAACTACTACTGAGCTCCGCTTCATGAACATACAGAAAACATGAAACCAGACGTTTTCAAGGGCGGTGAGTTCGAATCTGAGGTCCAATGGCCTCGAAATCTGATTGGTTGTTCGGAAACCAATAGAAATTCAGCTCTTATAAAAACAGAGCCAGACATGTATACTTTGAAAGAAAGGATGGGGTACAGGGTTTTTCGAGGCGATGAGTTCGGATCTGAGGTCCGATCGCCTCGAAATTCGATTGGTTGTTCGGAAACCAATAGGAATTCAGCTCTTTAAAAACAGAGCCAGACATGTATACTTTGAAAGAAAGGATGAGGTACAGGGTTTTTCGAGGCGATGAGTTCGAATCTGAGGCCCATTCGCCTTGAAATCTGATTAGTTGTTTGAAGACCAATAGGAATTCAGCTCTTCAGCAACCGGTCCAAAACGTATATACTTCCAAGAAAAAAATAGGGCACAGGGTTTTTTGAGGCGGTGAGTGTGAATCTGACATCCATTCGCCTCGAAATGTGATTGGTTGTTTGGAAACCAATAGGAACTCAGTTCTTAAGAAAATGGGCCCGAACACTTATACTTTCAAGAAAATAATTGGACAAGGGGTTTTTTAGAGGTAGTGGGTTCGAATCTGGGGTTCATTCATCTCGAAATCTGATTGGCTGTTTGGCAATCAACAGGAATTCAGCCCGTAAGAAAATGGACTCAACCACTGATACTTTCATGAGAATGACGAGGCAGGGAGTTTTAGACGTGATTAGTTAGAATCTGAGGATCGCTCGCCTCGAAATCTGATTGGGTGTCCGAAAGCCAGTAGGAAATCAGCTTTCATGAAGCCAGCTAATCAAAATTATGTGGCCAAGAGAAGAGTTAGTTAAGGCCCCCCCCCCCCCCCCCTCAAAAATCGATCTCTGCCCAGGAACGTTCAAATGGGCTGAAATTTGGAGCATATGTTGGGGCTGAAGTGAGGAGGCTGTGGTAAAATTTTCAGGTCGATATCCCGACGTTTGACAGAGATATGAACCAACACAAGGGTCAAAAATAGCTCATTTTCTGTCCAAGATTTCTCGGTCCGGGCTCTGTCAATATATTTAAATTTTTTTTTGTTTGAAAGAGCATCTCAGGATGCAGGGCAATATAGAGTCCTTTTTTTTGAATTCTTACTTTTTTCGCGGAGAAAGGGGCTCACAAGTTCAATGACTAAAAAAACGCGCCAAAAATTGGTGTCCAGTCACATAAGTGTCTGTCTATATAATAAAAAATAAAGCTTAATTAAAAAAAGGACTCTATATTGCCCTGCATCTCGACGCGCTCTTTCAAACAAAAAAAAAATTTAAATATATTGACAGAGCGGGGACCGAGAAATCTTGGACAGAAAATCAAAAAATCATAAATTGAGAAAAAATGAAAAAGATTTTTTGTTTTTTTTGAAAATAGCTTATTTTTCGAATAAGAGTCGACAGAAATCTTCAAAAGTTTTTGGAAAAAAAGAGGTGTTGAGTAAAAATTGTTGTTGTTTATGAAAGATCTAAAGACGGGCTAGCTTCCCATGCATTTATCTCAATTTTGACAATTCTCACGAAAATTGACTTTTTTTGAGGGGGGGAGGCCTTAAGGGCTTTCTGAGGCAATGAGTTCGAATAAGGGATTCAAGTACTGAATATGAGTATAGGGTATGGAAGCCCGTTTCTTCTTCTGTTTATACAAACAACGACGTCTGTTTTTCACTTCTTTGTGCATTTAATGTCGGTAATAACTAGCGCCATCAAACTTTCTCTGGCATCCCCCTTAGTGTAAAGAAAAATTGAGACGAGATTGACGCGACAAGCAAGGAAAGAAAGGCAACTGGGCCTAACTCTACCCAGGTTGTAAAAGTAAAAAATTCCTTAATCTCTAT